CCCTATCCGCTACCTCATCCTTCAATGAGACACCCCGTCACAAACACTTCAGGGGAGAGTCTGCTCGGGTTGGCCTAGACACATTTTAGTAAGTTAGTGGTGGAGAGAGAATGGCACCGAAGTAGTCGCCCAGCGGCTGTGCCATCCTATTCAGTGGCAAAAGAAGGGCCGAGTGACCTCTTCTGGTTTGAGTGCATCTCATAACACTGGGGGCTCGGGGAGAAACAGGCGAGGGAGCCTGGAGCTCATGGTCCCTCACGTCTCCTGGTAGTCACCTACAGGAAGAGGGGGCTTTAGTAATAATTTGGGGAGCAGACTGAACGCTCTCTCTGCCCAATACAGATCAATAATTATAGGGGAAAGAAAAGGGAAGTAACCACGAAAAAAAACCTTCACCAGGAAGAATAAAATGGATTTGGCAAGCTAGCAAAAGGCTCAAAAGTTATTTTACTTTTTGGCATCAGTCACACGATTGTAGAATTGAGGAATGTTATTGAGGGAAACAATAACAACTTGCAATTTTATAGGGTAGACTGATGTAATAAAGCAATCTAATGTGCAATGTTCTCAAACAACATTTTACGCTCCGTCGCATAAGGGGAAGTTATAGCTGTTCACTGCACGCTGGGTCAAAATGCGGGTACAAGGGGAGCTTGAAAGGCCGAAGGCCTAAGTGAGAGAGCTTAGCCCAGAGAGAACCAAAGGCAAGGCCGCCACTATAGGGTTGAAGGGAGCGGGTAGGTGAGCAATTGACTTCATTTTGCAGAATGCGGGGTCTGAAGGAGGTTATGGATACCAGGAGCAAGTCATCTCGCACAGAAAATCCCAATGTTGACTCCAAAAGGAGTTGGGAGCTTCGCCGGGTTGGATTCCTGGTCTACAATCAGTGGATTAGGGAAGGAGCAAGCAAAGGTGGTTTGGGTTGGGCGGTGTCTGGGACTGAGACGGGGGTTGAGAAAGTGAGTGCTGTGTCTGGTAGGTGAGTTGTTGAGTGGCCTGCTCTGGGGTTCGGGTGGACAACATAAGGAAAGGGGCCGATTGTAGTTGATGGTGTCCCTTGTTATGGGCAGGTCAGCGTCAACCTTTCTCGCGTGTGGTAGCTCTATGATATTCACTGAACAGGTCTTGTTCCCACTTTGCAAAGCTGGCCGTCACGATGCTGTAAACAGCGAGCTCAGAAAACCAAGAATATTGCGCGCAACGTGCACTTTATTTTAAAGCATGGAGTGCTAAACACAACAGACTGGTGGTGTTCTGTAGGAGTGTGAATTTCTTGTGTTTTTCTTTATTCAAGTTTCCCTTGCATGAGAGAGGGGGGCAATCCTGGTGTTCACAGCCGCACTCAGTGAGAAGAGTTGGTGCAAAGAAGCATTTAACATGGGGATTTATTTTCTGATCACCTTGTTAGCGATGTTATCACACGCGGCTCTGAAGCAGATGGGACTTGAACCCGGGCCTCCGGCTTAAAGATAGGGACTCGAACACTGCAGCAGAAGAGCTCTAAAATGAACTACAGTTGCACAGCAGCTCAAACACAGAGACGACCGGGAGGAGGCTGGTTTACCGCAAGCGTGCTGTTTTCTAGCTGTATTATGAACACACTGTCCCGCCTGACCTGGGACTCGAACCGTTGGCTCATGCTCTAAAGCCGGGTTACCATTAGCGCCAGCACACTGCTGTACTGAAGCTTGTAAGGTCAGGGTTATAACTAGGCTGAGAGTCAGCAGTTCATTGTCAAGAAATTTTACTCCAGTAGACAGGATAAAAACCAATAAACTGCATCTTAACTTATTGGATGACTTGGCACAAACAGAAATCCATCTACCTCTTTAAATCACATGTTGGAACAGGGACTCGGATGTTTAAATAGTGGGTGGGGAATCACATGGCCCAGCGCTTTCCCTGTGATTGGCAGCTCTCAGGGAACTGCCTGACCAATACACTGGCAACTTCGAAGGTGAGATCATTTCATCAGCCGCAGCGGTGTAGAGTGAGAGAGAGAGAGGAGCGGTACAGGTGCAGAGTGAGAGACAGGGGAGTGGTAC